TCCCTGTCCCTGAGGGCTCCTCCGGCACCTTGGGGATAGTGCCTGTCTCTTAGACAAATGAGGAATCTTGTCACCTGGCATTATGAATTCCCATGGTTCCTTGGCAGACTGGGCCTTTGGGACCATCGAAACCAACCAGTGTCCAGGGTCTTCCTCCCCTATGCCTGCTGGGGATTGAACCCCAGGGCCTTCACACTGAGCTACATCCCCAGACTTGTTTTTATTTTAAGACAGGGTCCTGCTAAATTGCCTGGTCTGAGTTTGACCTTGGGATCCTCCTGCCTCAGCCTCCCAGAATGCTGGGATTATAGGCATGTGTCACTAAACCCAGCTCTGAAAACATTTTTGAGCAGTGTAAATCTTTTCCCAAATGAAACCTAATTCACAATCCTAAGGTTGGATATAAAACCAATAAAAGCAGTGTTTTATGAGTGGTGTAGCACTCCACTACCACTCATAATTCCTTTCCCTGAATTGAAATGGTCTCTAATTTATGCAGAGGCAACTTTGGAGTCTACATTCAATCAGACAAAGTCTCTTCAGCCTCTGCTACACAGATTTCTGTGCAACCACTGCTATGCCTCACTTTACAGTAGTTGTTTAAGTAAAATCAACAGAGAAAGAAAGGCGCTGTTCTCGAGGCTGTAAAATAACACAGTGGAAGTCGGTTACACTTGTCCTGTGTGGAGCCTCAGCGGGCTTTGGATATCCTCGTCCAGAAAGTACTGGAGCAGGCAACAAAGTGGTTACACATAGCACCTGTTCTTCTCTTAAACTGGAATACACTTCAGTGAGCCAGGGGAAGCCCAAGTTATAATGGAAGAAACTGGGCACAATGCACAGGGCTATAAACGCAGCTACTCAGGAGGCTGAGGCAGGAGGATCACAAGTCCAACTGGAGTCAGGGCAAGAGACACTGTCTCAAAAAAAAAAGCTGGGTGTGGTGGCTTGCATATGTGATCCCAGAATCACCATGAGTTCAAGGCCAGCCTGAATTACAGAGCAAGATCCTCCCCACACTGCCCCCAAAAATGTTTTTTTTTTTTCTGGCAGGGCTGGGGGTCAAACCCAGAGCCTCCCACATGTATTGGGCAAGGGATCAAAGTCGGGACTCTGAGCTTGCAAGGCAGGCGGCCCCACTGAGCTAAATCCCCAGCCCCTAAAATATATATTCTGAAAGTGAGTTAGACTTGAACGCTTCAGGACGCCCAAATCATCCCTGCAAATATGGCGGCTCAGATTTGTCCCTGTCCCGTGAGAAGGAGCTTGGGGTCTGGGAGGGGGCGGCTGGGCCCTCGTCCTAGAGCGGGTGGTCTGGCTCTCGGTCCGGGCTCCAGCCCAGCCTCCTGATGTCCCTGGCCCAGTGTCCCCAGCACCCCCTCGAAGCCACCACGCAGCCAGTGAGCAAGCAGCAAGACAGGAGCAGCGCTCCCACAGGTGCCAGCTCCACAGCTGTCACCAGCTGGGCAGGGCCCCAGATCAGCCCCTGGCCCTCCCTCCTTAGCTTCCTTTCCCCAGCTGCCAATGCCTGGTTCCCACTCCTAGGCCCTGACTGCACTGAATGACAAAGATGCAGCCCATTGGTTGTGGTGCCTCAGGCCTGTGATCCCAGCATTCTGGGAGGCTGAGGCAGGAGGATCGAAAATTGGAGCCCAGCTGGGGCAATAGAGTGACTTAGCAAGACTCTGTCTCAGAATACAAATTCTTTAAAGGGCTGGGGATGTAGCTTGGTGTGAAGGCCCTGGGTTCAATTCCCCAGTGCCACAAAAAAATAAAAGGACAAAGATGCAGTGACAAGCAGTGATGGATGGAAGAAGACATTGGCAGGGTCACAAGTACTATGTTCCCTCACAACCTGGGCCAGGAAAACCTAGGCCTCAGGTGGCATCACCTTGGATTTGTGGCTTGCCCTCCCAGATCCTCAGTTTCCTCATTTAAAAAATGTGGGAAGGGGCCAGGGATTTAGCTCAGTGGTTTCGCCACCTGCTGTGCAAGCACAAGAACCAGAATTTGATCCCCAGTACCCAACAGAAAAGTGGGAGGCCAGGTGTGGTGGCTTCCCTGTGATCCCAGGAGCACGCAGGAGGCTGAGGCAGGAGGAGCGCCATAGTTTGAGGCCAGCTGGGGCAACACAGGGAGACCCTGTCTCAAAAAAGGAGGTGGGGATGCTACCTGGGGAGGCAGGCAGTTGAGAGGAGCAGATGAGCAGGAAAGAGCTTAGTCCTGACTAGGGTTAGGGCTGTTTCATTATTTCATTTTGTTTTGTTTTCTGATAATTCACCACCAGACCTGAGTGGGGAGAAGGCAGTCTCCAGAGTGTGGGCCTTTCTGACATGGCTTAACATCTGTCCTCCAGGGTGACCGTCCCCGCCTGGGGACCCGGGGGTGCACCTGCCTCCTCTTCTCGCCTGGATGCCCAGGGCTTTGCGACGCAGCTCCAGCTGGCTTCCAGACTGACAGGAAGGGTGGCGCCCGTCACCACCCGGGATCCTTGGCATGTCTTCTGCAGTTGCCCACATTTCCCAAATGGCTCTCTGCCAGGCTGGCTTCTTGGTGGCTGGGCTATGCCAAGACCAGCATGAGAATCCCACGGCTGGAAGACGGGGACCGTGCAGTGCTCCCAGTCCCCTCACACTCAGGGGTCGCCCTCCTTCCTGCCCATGGCACCAGTGCCAGCCGGCCTGGCCCAGGGTGTGCACAGGCACAGAAGAAGGACTGGGGCTGCCCCTCTGGGCAAGGGCTTAAAAACAGCCCACAGCTGGATAAGGCCATGGGGGCATCAGACCAGCTGGGGATTGGGCAAGGAACTTGGAGGAGGTGACATTTGGGCAGGACCTGGAAGAGAGAACAGAGACAGGAAAGAGGTGTGTTTGGGGCCCAGGGAACAGTTTGTTGGCTCCGAAAAAAGCACAAGTTAGGGCTGCAAACCTAGGTTGGGGTCACATTCTAAGAGGTCTTGAGTGTGAAAGGGAGGAGTCCGTGGCTAAATGGGAAGGCAGTAAGGAGCCACAGTCAGTTTTGAGCAGGACTAGTCCTGGTCAGCGGAACTGGGGGGCCATGTGGGGCTTCCTGGTGTGGACAAAGTCTGAGGAGAGGGATGGCGCCCCCTGGGTGCACTGACACTGTATGCAGCTGCCCCCTACCCTGCTTTCTCCACGCTCCAACCTCCTCCCTTCCCCAGAATGAGGGCGGATCCCTGTGAATGAGGGTGCCCTGCTCCTTCTCCCAAGCTGTCACCAGAGTCCCTGCAGGACAGACTGGGCCCGGCCCAGCCCAGAGCTGCCGAGGGCCTCAAACCCAGCTCTGTCGCTGCGGCCGGAGGATGACAATGCAGGACTGACAGGCATTCAGCGCCCCAGGGGCTGCGGGGAGAGCGGCCTCCTCGCGGATCTCCTTAGGGAAGGGCTGGGGGCCAGGCCGCAGGAGTCTCTGAACCTTGACCCCAGGTCTGAGGGCCCAGGGAGGGGCGGATGCCACAGGACGAGTGCCCCTGAGTCCTGCCCGGGCCCCGCTCACTTCGAATCTTCAGCGGGGCTGAGACGGGGTCCAAGATGGAGCGTGATGGGAACACCGTGTTCAGCCCTGGGCTCTGGGAAGAGCATGGCGATGGCAGGGGCCTCGGCCTTCCGGTTTCTGCCCCCTCCCAGACAGCCGGTGAGGGCACCCGGGAACTGAGCTGGCTGCAGGGGAGGGGGATGCCGGGAATCGGAATCGGAATCGGAATCAGCACTGGCTGGCAGCCTTTCCTCAGGCCAGGCAATTATCTAGTCACAATCAGGAAGAAACGGCGGAGTAAGCACTTCTGAGAGCCGGGTGGACCACTGGGAGGCTTTAACAATTCAGTCAGCCAGCTGACCCGGTGCGGAGCCAGCCAGACATGGGGAGGCTGGGGTGGAGTGGGGGGCTACAGGCGGGGTCCCCACCATCCCACAGTTAGGGTTCGCCCCAAAGTTTTCCAGGTCACTGGGGGAGGACGCTGGGGGGGGGAGTGCTCCCTGCAGGGGTCCAGGCTGAGTCTGCAAAGCCTTCCCCAAACCCTCAGGGCCAGCAGGAGGGGCAGCATCAGAACCTCAAGGCTCTTGTGGGGGGAAAGAACAGAGGCTGGGCTGTCCCGGAACAGCCACGGGGTTGACTTCAGCCCCTTGGCCTCGGGCCCCCGGGGAGTTTTGCAGCCACTGGAGGTGGATTTCCAAGCCCGGGTGGTGGAGGGGTCTTGGCTTGGTGCTGGGGCCTTGGCACAGGGCGAGATTTGGGCACAGAGCGATTCCACAGATGGTGCTTCCGTGATGTCAGCCAAGGGCTCTGCCTCAGCCCTGCGGCATGTCTGGAACCCTCCGGTGCTGTCCTGGGCAACGTGGGGGGTCAGCAGCACCCTGGCCTCTGCCCATGGGACGCCATTGGCGACCCCCAGGTTGGGGGGGGTGTGTTTGTTTGGTGCAGAACTGGGAGTGGAACTCTGGTTCGCTCTACACTGAGCTCCACCCCACTCCTTTTCTCTTTTTATCTTTTTAATTTTCACTTTTTTTTTTTTTTGGTACCGGGGATCGAACTCGGGTCTTCGCGCTTGCGCAGCAGGCGACGAAACCACTGAGCTAAATCCCCGGCCCTTCTCTTTTCATTTTGAGACAGAGTCTGGGCTAAATTGCTTGGTCTGGCCTCAAACTTGTGATCCTTCTGCCTCAGCCTAGGGTAGTTGGGATGGTAGGCGTGTGCCACTACGTCCAGCATCATCCTCAGTTTTGTTTTTTGAGACAGGATCTCATTATGTAGTTCAGGGTGGCCTCCGACTCACAGGGATCCTCCTGCTTCAGCCTCCAGTGTGCCAGGGTTACGAGCATGTGCCACCGCGCCCGGCAGCATCCCCCAGTTTTGAGAACTAAAAGTGTCTCAGGCCTTGCCAAATGGCGCCCTTCCGCCCTGCTGGGAAAAACGAGGCACGACCCTGGGATGCGGGACGCGGGGGCTTTGGGGTCTGCTGCTCAGCGTTGCCTCTCTTGCAGGAAGGAGCCATGGCAGGGCCGGCGCTCCGCAGGGGCCCCGTGCGGCTGCTCGTCCTGCTGGCGCTCCTGGAGCTGAGCCTGGCGGGCTCCCTCGCACCCGGATCTCCTCTCCGGACCTCGCCTGAGAACCACATCGACCCCCGGGCCCCCGCGCCGTGGACGCCCCAGGCCAGCCACCACCGCCGGCGGGGCCTGGGCAAGAAGGAACGGGGCGCCGGCTTGCCTGGGGCTGTGGCCACCGCCTCCAGGCTACCGGGTCAGAGCCCTGCAGGCCTGCGGGACAAGGACCTGCTCCTGGGGCTGGCGCTGCCCCACCCCGAGAAGGAGCACCGGTCTCCGGGGTGGGAGAGGGCGAGGAGCCGCGGGCGCGAGCGCAAGAGGCGCAGGGATAGAGCGAAGCTGCACAGAGGTAGCTGGAGGTGGGGGGCGGGGGGCCCGGATCTCAGAGGCCCGGGGCGGGGGGAGGGGGCGTGGTGTGGGATCCGGCAGATGGAGGGGATCTCACTACAGTTGGAGGGGTCTGCTAAGGGAGGAGAGGCCTGGGGTGCGGCAGGAACCACAGAGGCTGTCTTAGCCATCGACCATCCCAGTCAGAAGTTCTACCTGGTGTCTGACCCGAGTCTGCCCTACTGTAAGTCCCGAGGAGAGAGGGCGCAGTAGCAAATCCTTTAATCGACTCTGAATCGGCAGAGTGGGGCTAACCAGCTCTGAGCCAGGAGTGGCGGCACACACATGCCATCCCAGCGCTCTGGGAGGCTGAAGCAGGAAGATCAAAAATTCAGCCTGGGCAACTTGGTAACTCAGACCCTGTGAGGAGGCTACACCTGGGACAGGCCGAGTGCGCAGCCACCAGAGAGGGCTGTCCTTCGGGAGGACGCAGCGGTGGAGCCTCACCCCCTCTCCGGCATGCAGCTGGGGCTCGCTTCCTGCCAGCCTATGGGGAAGAGGACAGACCCCCAGTAGGGCGGGGCAAAAACCGGCCCCGCCTCCCGGCCGAGGCTGTCCTCTGTCAGGGTGGGGCTGGGTGTGGTCACCCAAGGGACCTCCGGAGGAGCAGCAGGGCACCCCCCCCACAAGGTTGGTTTGGTGGCCCGGAGGCAGGGTACAGGGAACTCTGGCCACCGACTGTGACGCCCCGGGCGGTGGACTGGGCCTCAGTTAATGAGTGGCTCTGAAGCCCCCCTCCCTTTCCTGGAAAAATCAGCCCAGACAGTCCCAGGCCCTCAGCTTCTGCCCAGCCCCCACTGCCCGTGACCCCTGCCGACTGCACAATCCCCCCACTCACACCAGCCCAGGGCCCTGTGTCTTGGATGCAGCACCAGTGCTTAAGAGAATTGGCTTTGTGCTCCAGCAGACCTGAGTTCAACTCCAGGAGCTGTGTGCCCTTGGGCAAGTCGCCTAACCTCTGTGTTCCCATTTCCTCCCCTACAAATGAGGCTGCAGGAGCACCCAGGGCTTGTGCAGGGCCTAGGAAGGAACACTGGTGGGCTGGCCCAGCTGGGACCCCGTTCAGCAGGTACCCAATAAATGGGCTGCTGACTAATGATCAGCACATTGGAAGCCCTGCTTGTGAGTGGTAGGCTGTGGCTCTCATCTCCCAGCAATGTCCCTCAGCCTCTTCCTGCTCACCTCCTCCAGGAAGCCTTCCACGGTCAATCCCACCAGCTCCCATTAGTTGCCTCTATGTCTCTGGCTGTCCCCAACCAACTCAGATGGGGACTTCCTAGAGTGTTGTTTCGGGGAGAACCCTTGGGCGCCTCCCAGCAACATGTGGAGTTCATCACAGACATTTCCCCTGCTGAGCTCCCCATTTCCAGCTCCCCAGGAGGCGGAGCAGCTGAACCAAGGGCTTGTCACCCGGTCTCCAGTCCCCCGGGTTTGCAGCGTGCTGTCACCAGGTGGACCAGGCCAAACCCCGTGCCCCCCACCCTTCTCAGGCGGAGCGCTGGTCCGAGGCCCCAGCTCCCTGATGAAGAAGGCAGAGCTCTCTGAGGAGCTGACGCTGGACACCACCATGGAGGAGTCTTCCACCAGCCTGGCCCCCACCATGCTCTTCCTCACCACCCTGGAGGCAGCGCCCGCCACAGAAGACTCCCTGGTCCTTCCTGCCACCTCCCTGCACCCCCAGGTAAGCAGCCCAAAGCAGCCTCAGGGCTGGAAGGGCTGTGCAGCCGCCTCCCAGGACACTTAGGGAAGCCAAGGCCCTAACAGGAGGGAGCTGGTGGAAGCCATCAGGCCTAGACACACAGCAGGCTCCTGTGCGGGAGAAAGTGGTCTGGGGTCACATGGGGACAGCCAAGGAACCAGGACGGCTCAGTGGGACGGTCCCTGCCCGCACAGCCGAGAGGCCCTTGGAGTCTAGGAGAGGACAGAGAGCTGTCACAGTAACTGTCAACACCACGGCTGGCCACCCAGAATGAACCAGCGTTAGTTAGTGTTTTGACCGCTGCACTCTGGATCTTTGAAAAAGAAAGCAAGCAGATGTGATGGAAATGCCATCTCCTGGGCATTGGAGCAGGAGCATAGATAGGAATCGATCATACTTCTTGCACCTCTTCTGGGACACTGACAAAAAAAATTTTTTTTTGGTACCAGGGGATCGAACTCAGGTCCTTGGCTTGCAGAGCAGGCGGCAGAAACACTGAGCTACACTGAAAAATTTTCAAAAATAAAACCATTGAAAGGGATCAATAATAATATATTTTATATGTCAATAATGTAGACTATATTGTATATGTGTAAGAAAAAATAAAAAAAAGAATTTTATCAGTACCGTAGTACTTCCTTAGCCAGCTTTACTTTCTGCAATTTCAATCAGTTGTAGTACAAAAATACTCATTGTGTTAGGCCTGGTAGTGCAGGCCTGTAATCCCAGCACTCAGCACTGTGGATTTTGAGGCCAGCCTGGAATATATAGTGAATTCACATTCAGCCTAAACTACATAAGGAGGCCCCATCTCAAACTAGCATAGGTGTATGGACAGGAAAAACAGATCAGTGCTATCCACAGTTGCAAGTGTCCCCTGGGGTCCTGGGAGGGATCTCCCCCAGATAACAGGGCCCACTGTGGATCTTTCTTATGCTCTCTCTGGATCTTGCACCACCATGGGATTCTGATGAAAGCTGTGGCCCGACCCCAGGAGTGCATGGGGCACCAGAGGGGAGCCCCTGGTTGGCGACTGCATGAGACTCCACATTCCTGCTCCCCTCCGCCCCTTCTGCAGGTGCCACCCAGGTCCGATGGGGAGGTGATGCCCACGCTGGACATGGCCTTGTTTGACTGGACTGATTACGAGGACTTAAAACCTGAGGTCTGGCCTGCTGTGAAAAAGAAAGGTTTGCAGCGGTCCCTGGCCACCCTGTGACTGCCCCCAACTCTTCTGAGTGAGCCCTGTGTGCCTGGGGGATGGGGGGCTCCATCTAAACCGGAAATGACACTCAGAATGGAAAGAGCAAGACACTTCCTGTGTGGGAAGAACAATCCATCGAAGGGAGAACAATCAATGAGTCTGTGCTGCTGAGAAGGGGAAACTGAGGCAGAGAGAGCCAGAGTGTCTGGTCCCAGCCACACTGGCAGTGGTCATATGGGCACTGTGACACCCAGGTCCTGTGCTTAATGCCTCCACTGGGCTCAGCCTCAGCTTCTGATGACAGATTTTCTTGTCGCCAGAGAAATGGAGTCCATTCTCCAGCAGTGATAACGAGACATCGCCAGTGGAAGGGGAGCCCTGTGACCATCACCAAGACTGCCTGCCAGGTACCACACTTACACCCAAGGCCCCGGGGGCGGGGGTGACAGGACAGGGCTCCCAGGCACGGAACAAGTCCCTGGGACCCTTTTTTCCCTTTCTGCTACTGAGAATCAAATTGCACTGAACTATATCCCGAGCCCCCTGTATTTTGTATTTTGGGGGGGATTTTTTGTTTTTGCTTTTGTTTTTGTTTTTGGTACCGGGGATCAAACTCAGGTCCTTGTGCTTTCGAGGCAGGCAGTGGAACCACTGAGCTAAATCCCCAGCCCCTCTATTTTGTATTTTGAGACAAGATCTCGCTAAGTTGCCAAATTGCCCAGGCTGGGCTCGAACTTGTGATCCTTCAGCCTCGATAAATACTGCAATTATAGGGATAAATCACCATGCCTGGCTCCCCATGACCCTTATGGACAATATAAGGACAATAGCAGTTACCAAGTTTTCAAGTGATGCTGTCAAGTGTGAATTTATGTAATATATTAGAGCAACCCAGAGAGAGGTGCTGTCACCCTCAGATTTCAGGCAAGCAGTCCGGCCCAGGAGAAGCCAAATGTCTTTCTGGGGATGTTTTTGACAACGTCTTCACCCACTCAGCAGGTGCCTCCATCAATGGAGTGAGAAGTGCAAGAGGTTGCCAGATGTGGCGGTACACACCTCTACCGCCAGTGCTCTGGAGGCTGAGGCAGGAGAGTCAGGTTCCGGCCCAGTCTGGGCAATTTAGTGACTTAGTGAGCCACTGCCTCAAAACAAAAAATAACAAAAGGGCTGGGGATGCAGCTCAGTGTGAAGGCTCTGGGTTCAATCCCCAGTACTGCAAAACACACACACAAAAAGACAAAGTGCAAGAGGTCTGTCTGTCTCGGGGGTGGGGTAGACACCTGTGAGAGGTCGCAGGTGAGGGAGCAGGGTGAACAGAGAGGCCTTCGGATAGACGCCAGGTCCCACTCGGCCCCAGCCAGCAGCCCCGCTGTGCTGCTTTCCTCCCCAAACCACTGTTCACGCCCTGAGCACCGAGAAGGCTCAAGTTCAAGCCAACCCTGAATCTCAATGGGCAAAGCCTCGCCCCAAGGCAGCCTGGGCGTCAGTGTGCCCCTCTGCCCAAAGAGGGCGCTGCTGTCAAAGGTCCTTGAGGCTCCTCCCCACTCTGAGCTGACCCTGCTCCCCGCGGCGCCCAGCGCCCAGCTGTTCCACCGCTGTCCCCTGGAAGTGACCCCACACTGTCCCCGCTTTTCCCAGAACCCATCAGTTGCCTATCTCAAGCAGCTGGGGTCTCCACCACTGCCCCTGGGAGCTCTTCCGTGACCTCATGGGCAATCCCGCCCGGGAGCCTTGGGCACCAGATGGCCCCCTGCCAGGGCGCGGGCCGCCCCCGGCATGATGGATTTCCTGTCCCGTGGGACCGCGTGCGGGGGCGGCGGGGCGGGGCTGCTCGGCTTGGTTGAGCACCGCTGGCTGTGTCTGCAGGGACCTGCTGTGACCTGCGGGGACACGTCTGCATACCCCACAACCGCGGCCTCAACAACAAATGCTTCGACGACTGCATGTGCATGGAAGGTAAGTCTCGGAGAAGGGGCTCCCCACGCTCCGGGTCCCTCGGGGTCTCTGTCAGAGCTGGTTCTGCAAGCCAGGTGTGGTGGCACAGGCCTGTAATCCCAGAGGCCCGGGAGGCTGAGGCAGGCAGATCTCAAGTTTGAGCCCACCCTGGGCCATTCAGCAATATGGTGAGACCTCTCCTGGAAGAGGGTGGGCGGGAGAAGCACTTGGGAGCTGAAGACCAGAGTAGGAACAGCTTCACTATGCGCCTTCCCAATCTGTGAACTCACTTCGTCTTGATTCCTGGCATCCTTCCCCAGATTTGCTTTCCTCCCCTCTTGAAATACAAGCTGGTGTGATCAAAAATCAGCGGGAGGGTGTGGAGAGGAGACAGGCAAGGATCTCTGGAAATAAGACCCAACCTGAAGGCCTGGCGCTCTCATTCGGAATTCTAGGCGGAGAGACGTCAGGAGTGGGATACGGAGGAGAAGGCGGGGTGGTTTCCCAGCAGGGCCAGGCAGGGGAGGAAGTGAAGGGTGCTGCCTGTCTTGCTGCCCCAAGCCCCCGCCTGGTGCTGGAGGCCGAGCCCCTTCCCACTCATGCCCACGTGCCCAGGAAGGGCCCTATAAGGACCCCACTGCACAAAGGCTTTTTTATTTTTAAACTTATCTATTTGGGTTTTTTTAAAGACAGGGTCTTGCTATGTAGTTCAGGCTGGTCTTGAACTCACTCTGTAGCCCAGGCTGGCCTCAAACTTGGATCGATCCTCTTGCCTCAGCCCTCCAAGTGTGCACCATGATGCCTGGCTCCAATTTTGTATTCTGAAAAATTTCAAATACAAACATATGGAAGCAGTCGCAATGGTGTACTGCATCCCTGCGCTCCGTCACTGAGCCTCAGTAATGGACCAAAATGGACTAACTCTTGGCCAGAATTGAACAATAATTACTCCATACCATACAGTACCCAACCCATGTTCCCGACCCTCCCCGAGTGGGAGAATCTGAGCTCGGCCCCTCCATGAACCCGAGATGCATTCAAGTCGTTTTACTCACCTGCTCCTCCAAAATCATCTTGGGAAGGAACACATCCATTTAGGTCTGATTACTCATCCATCTCTAGTCAGTTAAGAAATACTTACTGACCCAGGCGTGGACGTAATCCCAGCACTCCAGGAGGCTGAGGCAGGAGGACTGCAAGTTCCAGTCCAGCCTGGGCAACTTAGTGACTTAACCTGTCTTAACCTTAGTGACCCCATCTCCAAATTAAAACAAAGACCCTAAGAAAAGGGCTGGGGGTGTAGTTCAGTGTGAAAGCCCTGGATTCAGTTGCCTAGTGGGTTTCAGAAGACACACGGAATCCAAGATGAAAACCAGCAGCTTCTGCATGCATAGATTACAAGCCAGCAAGAGGAGTAAATTCTAGGGCCCTAAGCACAGTCCCCTCTGTACTTCCTTTCCTTGACACGTGGTGACAAACACATCTTACTGGAGAGGCGTCCTACTCCCTGGGGTCATTCCCGAAGGAAGTCCAGGGCTTTCCTGGCCACTGACATCTCTTTCCCCAGCCATCAGGAGCATGTGACTTCCTGTGGCCTCCAGTGAAAAATATGTCTACCCACATGTCTCAGGGGGCAACTGACACAGCAAACAAAGCCCAAGCTGCCAAACCCTGCCAATGGCGGGCCGGGAGGGCCACCCTGACTCTAATTACAGTTCTCAAGGAGGAATCTCTTTGAGACCTAAAGGCTGAAGGAGACAACTACACAAAGAACCCGGGGAAGGGCCAGGGATTTCTCTCAGTGGTACCATGGCTGCTTTGAAAGTGCAAGCTCCTCGCAAGAGTTCCATCCCTGGTACCAAAAAAAAAAAAAAAAAGAACCTAGGGAAGGGATTTCCGGTTGTGAAGACAACACATGCAAAGGTCCTGAGGCCGCAATGGCTGGGGATCTGGGGCAAGCAGCACTGGGGATGGCTAGTGTCAGTGAAGGGAGAGCAGAGGTGGAAGCAGCAGACAGGTGGCAGAGTCCAGGTTCTGGAGGTCCTTGTAAGCCAAGGCATAAGTTTCATTTCATGGGAGTTTTGTGCTGAGCTTCACCCCTGGCCCTGAGTGTCCCGTTAAACTCGTCCAGGAGCTGTGCAGGTGGATAGGGCGCGGTAAGAGAGGATGAGAAGCCCGGTGTGGGGGTGGACAGGAGGAAAGGGACGAGACTGGTGTGTCGCGGGCCTGACGCCCTTGCCTCCCTCCGCCCAGGGCTGCGCTGCTACGCCAAATTCCACCGGAACCGCAGGGTCACGCGGAGGAAGGGCCGCTGCGTGGAGCCCGAGACGGCCAACGGCGCCCAGGGCTCCTTCATCAACGTCTAGCCGCCACTTGCCTGGGGACTGAGCCCAGAGGCGCTGAGAAGCCGGGAGACTTGTGTGTAACTAGAGGAGGGAGATGGAGTGGGGGACCGAGCGGCTGGGGCAGCTGGGAGCTCCAGCCGCCCCTGTCCAGGAGCTGAAAAGCGGCGCCCCTGCGCCTGCGCATCTGCGTCGTCCCCGCCCCGTGAGCTCCGCAGTGGCCGCGCAGAGAGTGCCCTCTGCCGTCCGATAGCAGCACTGCAGCGGTTTGAAAACTAGCAGTGGGTTTTGGAGAGTCAAGCGAAAGGGCACGCTGGGCAGGAGAGTCTGGAATACCCCCATGTTCCGGGCGCGGGGCTAAGCGCGCGGCATGCATCACCTCAGTGAATCCCCACAGCAGCCTTTCCGAGTAGGCATTCTCATTTTCCAGGTAAGGACACAGCCACACTCGAGTGACAAATTTGTCCAGGGACCCGGATGGAAGCTCCTCGAGCCTTAACGTGTGTAAGAGTCACCTGGGGACCTAGCTAAGATGCGGACAGGGAGATTTGAACCCGGGCCAGGGGCATAGATCAACAAGGCCTTGTTCCTGCCCTTCCACAGCTGAGAACTTAGACCAATTTCTCCATGGCTTCCGGCAAGAAAAATGCATCTCCTGGTAGTTCCTTTTGCTATAGCTGGAATATTTGTCTGTTCTCAGCCTCCCTTGGACACAGGTGCATCTTTTTTTATTTATGTAAATGCTCATTAATCACCTGCTTGCAGTAAGGGAAGATCCGGGCAGATTGGTCCCCCCACCCTCAGGTAGCTGATATCTTGAGACATAGTGTTTGGGGGAGACAGTAATGTTGTTCCTTGAATTCCTGTGACCCTGCTTATCCCACTCTGGGACTTGCACTTCCAAGTTGTCCTGAGAGATTCTGCCACAGCAGTTCTGATGCACACACGGTCTCTAAGAAGGACTCAAGTCACCCAAATACGCCCACTTCGCCTATCATTTACTGTTTCATGGCCCTCCCAGACATCCCTGAGCTCTATCCCACAGTGGGAAGTGGGGGCACCTCTGCCTTGAAGCACCCCAACAGGCCAAATGCATGATGCCCACCCAGAACGTCTGACTGAGCACTTCCAGCTCCAGGGCCACCTCCACAGAGCCATTTAAATCCCCTCACCTGGCATCTGAACCTTCTGGTCGGCGCAAACCAGGCTGCAAATGACAAAAGCCTTCCCCATCCAAGTCCTCACTGGCCTGGACCCTGGCCAGAGGGTGATGGGGCTGTTTACTGCTTTGGGGAAATCAGTCAGGGTCAGAGTTGGGCACCAAGGAAGATAACAGACCTAGAAGAAATCAAATATGCTTGCTCTTCTCTCACTGTCCTGGTCTGATAGGCATGGGAATCTTGGGGGCAGAGGGAGGGCAGGAGAACTGAAAGGGATCAAAGCCGGCTGGTGGGAAAGCGGATCTGCAAGCAGTTTTGTGTTTGAGGCCAGCCCAGCCCAGCTGCACGCTGGGGGACCCTCCCACCCGCTGGGGATTGTGCAGCCTCTGTGGGAGCTGAACCCTATGAGGGGCTGCAGAGAACCAGCATTGCCAGGACTGCTGAAGCCCCCGGAAGTCAGCAATGGAAACACAGAGGGTCAGGCCAGAACTAAAAGGGCCTGTGCTTGGAAATTCCAGGCCTCTCTTTGCCCCAGCTACCTCCATTTTGCCTTTACAAAGTGGGGATGGGAGAGTAGAATCCTCTTAACTCTCAAGCTGGGGATCCCAGCGCCCCCTCAAATGTTGAATCCACCCCACCAGGACATTCTTAAGTTTCTTCTAGATCTAATTAAGTTTCTTTTTTGGGGGGGGGGGTACCGGGGATCGAACTCAGGTCCTTGGGCTTTCGAGGCAGGAACCGGAACCACTAAGCTAAATCCCCAGCCCTCTAATTAAGTTTCTTCTGCTGGTACAGAAGCCAACTTCCTCCAGTCCAGAATTCAGCAAACCTTTAGGCTTTGCAGAGCATAGGGTCTCTGCCAAACTACTCCACTCTGCCACAGCCGTGGACAAGGTAAGAATGAATCGGCGTGGCTCCATGCCAGTAAAACCATTTATAGACACAGACTTGAATTTCATATGACTTCCCCAGGTCACAAAAATAATATTTTGATTTCTTAAAACTATTTAAAAATGTAAAACAAAAACAAAAGCTTAGCTTGAAGATTGCAGAAAAAGAGGCAGGGGGTAGGGGCCGGATTTAGCTCAGTGGTTTCCCCACCTGCTGCGCAAGCGCAAGGACCCAAGTTCAATCCCTGGTACCAAAAAAAAAAAAAAAAGAGGCAGGGGGTCAGATGTGGCCCACAGGCCATGGTTCACCAACCAAGTTCAGTTCATTCTCAGCCTTGGCTGAACATTGGAATAATCGGGAACTTTCAAAAGACCTGAGGTCCCTGAGCAAAGGCTCTGTTTTGATATAGAATTTTTTTATCAGTCTTGGGGATGGAACTTGGGGTCTTGCACAGGATAGCCAGGTGCTGTGCTACACCCTAGTTGGCCTGAGCTGCACCCTGGGCTGTGGTCTGGGCTTCCTGTTTCTCTCACTGCCCCCAGGTGGCTCTGTGTACAGCTGTCCACAGCAGCAACAGCTGCTGACAGAAGGGCTTATTCCACCTCCCACCAGCTTGCTGACCTTAGGAGAGTTACTTAAGGTCTCTGTGCCTTGATTTTTTTCATCTGTAAATTGGGAATAATAACTGTTCCTTTGTAGGGGTATTGTGAAGATTAGATGCATAATTCTTTTGAGGTGTTTAGAACACTGCCTGGCGAATGAGCCCCCACTCACCCTGTAAACCAATAAATCCTTCCAGGAGGCTTTTAGTAGGTGTTCTGTTCTCCGACCATGATCTGTCACATACTCAAGGTCATGTCTCTCACCATGCAGGCTCCCTCCCCAAAGTGTGGAATGAGGTCGGAGTGAAAGGTAGAGGCTTCGGGCCAGCCTGGCAATGTGTCGGGTTCCGGGTGCTGGGCAGGGCCGCAAGAGCAGTGGCTTTGCAATGATAGGTTCATTGTGTGAAAATGATGTACCTGGGGAGAACTGCATAAGGGCCCAAGAGGAGACCAGTAGCTGCTGTGACTGTTGCCTGAGCCCAGCCTGCATTCCTCCAGCTGAACCCTTGCTGCTCTTCCAGACACCCCCAAAGTCCTTTCCCTGCCTTGTCTGCTGTCCCCAAGAGTGGTTTTTGTGTCTGCTGCAAAAGGCCTGAGGATTCATTCCAATGGCCTGAGGAAATGACATCTTTATTTATTCCCGGAGGAGTGACTGAGCCACACAGGTCAAATTCCAGAGTCACAATCCCTACTAACCCCGAGACGCTGCAGGGCCACGTCTACCTCACCTAATACTGAGATCGCAAGTGAGAGGATTCTCTCCTCCTGGGACTGAGGTCCACTTTGCAGCTGGAGGAGGTAAACAAGCACGAACAAGCAAGGAGCGTGTTTAGAAGCAAACAACAGAACTGCTAGGAAAGAAAGTGAAGAGGCGGAGAAGCAAGACTTGAAGGCTCCTGCCTGGGGCCTCCACAGTTACCTCCCCACTCACAGCTCATAGGCAGCAGTGCGTGCGTGTGCTGGGGAGGAAGTGGGCAGTTTGAGCAATCAGGGCTTTCTATCGCAGCTTTCCTGCATGCGTTCTGACCCGAAGCTGAGCCACTTCTGGCCCCAACAGGCTGTCTCTACTCCTCTCCTCCTCACAGTGTGGCCAGGGCCTGCAGCAGCGCCTGGAGCTCCGTAGAGGTGAGGGACCCTGGGCTCTACTCCACACCCAAAGCTCCAGGCCACTATTGTGCATGGTAAAGTTTTAGAGTCACAGGTCTAGGACACAGAGGGGAAACCAAGCACTGGCCTGTTGGAGACATTTGGATGCTTTGAGTCATTTGTTTTGCTGGCAGTACTGGGGATTAAACCCAGGGAATGCTAAACTATATCCTCAGCCTTGTTTTAATTTTATTTTGAGAGAGGGATGACTAGCAATGACCAGCTCATGGGTTCAGAGGCCCTGCTCCTTACATTTAGAGGATCTCAGGCAGAGCATCTAGGCCCGAGGCCCTCAGTCAGGGTTTTCTGCCTGTTAGGAAATCCCGGGGGCGGGGGGGGGGGCTGTGGCTCCTCTTAAAGTGTGGGAGCAGCAGGGGAAGGGGTGCTACACCCTTGTAGTCCTGTGATGTCATGTTGCATGTGTTCTCTCACGCTGTAAATAAAGAGTCATGGTTACTAAGTCAAGTGGTCACCTGTTCCTCTCCAGATGTTCTGTCTGTGCTGGCACTGAGCATTGCTGGGGCCCCAGAGGGACCTTAAGCCTGGTGTGTCCCCAGCATGTCCCATTCATTGGCACACCCCATTTGAGCAGCGAACAAGGCGGTCAGGGGCTTCCTGAGGTGGGACCTCTAGCCAGATCACTCCAGTGGAGATCTCTTCCAGGGCTGGGGTAGCTGAGGTCCCAAAGAGACAGGGTGGCTGGTTACAGCAGGTTGGCCCCCAGCAGCTTCATTCCCAGCCCCTGAGAGCCAGGGGCAGAGCAAAGCAAACACCAGCTTCTCAGGGACCAGGAAGAACAAAGGGCTGCCGCCGACAGAGGCAGGCTCAGATGCTATTTGGACAAAGTGTGAGCCACCAGGCGGTAGCGTGGCTTGGCACCAGGAAGTCTGTTGCTTATCTCAGTGTCAGTTCCCACCACCACGGCCCTACTCTGGACCAGGGCCTCTGAGGCCTGGCTGACACAGTAGGTCGTGGGACAGCTTTCATTGGCACTGTGTCCCAAAGCCAAGGCAGGACCCAGACACTCCTGGGGCTGGGGTGACTGTACACATGGCCCCCCTTAGGATCTGATGTCCCTACAGAGATCTCCCAGCCCAGCCTGGATGGGGGAACCAGGTCCCCAAACCTAGGGCTTCCTAACACATGCCCCTGGGACAGCCAGCAGGAGAATCTGGGGAGCAGCCCAGGTTTCTGAGCCTGCCCTGGGCATCTCGGATGGGCTTGGGCTCTGCCTGCTTGAGAACTTTAGATGGAGAGCTGCTGAGCCAAACCTTCCTAAACTCACTGTCCTCTCTGCTCAGGCCCTAGGCAGCCTGAGAAGCCTACTGCTGAGAAAGGTTCAGAGGAATCAAGCCCAAGGGTCCCTTTCCTGCAGGCCACGTGAGTCGCACTGTCCCTGTCCCAACCATTCAACTTTCTGCAGCATGGACAGCCATAGACAACACAGAAATCCATGAGCACAAATGAATGCAGACAGCCATGTGCCAATAAAACTTTATTTACACAAAAAAGGACTGGGCTGGATCTGGCCCACAGACTGCAGTGTACCCGCCCCTGTTCCTGACCTTTAGGTCAACGGTTGCAGAAAGCCATGCTGGGCTTCTAAATCCTTTCTGTTCTTGGGTCTCAACTTGAACCCATTGTATTCTACTAACATGGGTCAGCATGGTGCTGAGATAAGGGATAAGACCGGTCACATCCAAGACCACAAGGACAACTTCACTGTGTGTTGGTGGCCAGGCTGCAGCCCTCAGGGGTCCAGTGGCTGCAGGGGGGCAGGGGAATTAGGCTCTCCGGAGAATGGAACCAACAGGATATTTATGTTTATGTATGTATCTGAAAATAGGGATGCATACATATGCATGTGTATATATGTATGATATATATGTAAAGTGATTTATTTTAAGGAATTGGCTATGGGGATTGTAGGAGTGAAGGAGTCTATAATTCGTAGAGCAAGCTGGAGTTACTGTTACGATCTTTTTTTTTCTTTTGTACCGGGGATCAAACTTGGGACCTTGCGCTTGCAAAGTTGTTTTGTTTTTTGACACAGGATCTCACTATGTAGCCCAGGCTGGCCTTGAACTCCAGGTGATTCTCCTGCCCCAGCCTCCTAAATGCTGGGATTACCATTACCATGCCCAGTATCACTGTTACAGTCTTAAGGCCAGATTTCACCTGTTTTTGCTCTTCTGGCCTGCCCATAAAGGCCACTTGCCCAAAGCGGTGCTAAGCTAGTTGGTGCCTAACCCAGAGGCCCCACCCAAGTTTTCGGCCTCCAAAACGTGATTCTATGTCCATGACCTTGTGCTGCCTCTCAAGTGGCACCGTTTACTGAGCACCTACTAGGAGTCAGTCAACGATCACAGCCTGGGAGCTATGCAGCTCATCCAGGACCACCAAGGCTGCTGTCAGGGCGAAGGGATGCAACGGAACTGAGAGCCTGAACCCTCCGGTCAGGCTGCCTCCTGCAGGCCTCAAGGAAGGAGGGACAGATGATTCTCCCAGGGCTTTCCAGCCAGCTGGAGCAAGGAGGGCCCTGCCGCTTGTCTACACCACCTTCCATTTCCTCACTCTCCTCTTATCTCCCCTGCAGCACAAGGACAGACCCAGGTTCCATTACTACCCGTGCAAGGCAGGTGAGGCCTCCCGGAGCCTTGGGCAGTGAAAGCCGACACCCAGGGAGGCCCAGGGCGGATAGCATCTTGGGGGCCACAGAGCCGGCAGCCACGCTGGCCCTGTTTGTGTACCCGAGCCTCCGCCGGGCTTGGGCAGAGCCCTCAAACGCCCCCTTTGGAATTCCAGCACCGCCCCGGGGGAAAGCTGGGAGGCTCAGCAGAGGCGAGGGGAGGCGGGGCTGAACAAGGATGGGCTGTGAGAGGGAGAGGAGTGAGGTGCATTCTGGGAGGGCCTGCTCTGGGTGGGCGGGGCCCTGGAGCTGGAGTGCAGGGCGGGCGAGCTGAGGCTGCAGCACACGCACACACACGCGCACGCACAGCACGCACAGGCACCCACGCAGTTGAAGAGGATCGCAGTTGCAGTCCCTAGTGTTTGAAGCAAACGCCATAGAACAGAGGCTCAGAGAGCAGCTGGAAGCAGCCTTACCCTTGGGCGATGCCAGCTTCTGCCTGCTTTCTTTCCAACCGGGCACTGGCAATTCCCTTGTCTGCCTTTTCTTTGATCACCAAAGGTCTCACGGGACGTTTGTGTTGTTTTTAATTTTTATTGGTACATTTACAGTATATAATAATCATTCATGGTGGGACTTGGTCCATGTACATAACACATCCTCATTCTTTTTACGTCCCACTCCCCCCATTTCTTGGTCGCCTTCCCATTTGCAAAAATCTATCTCCCTGTTTTCTATTATGTATTTTTATTATTTATTTATTTTGGTACCGGGGATTGAACTCCGGTCCTTGGGCTTGCGCAGCAGGTGGTGAAACCACTGAGCTAAGTCCCTGGCCCTCTATTATGTATTTTTAATTTTGCTCTGTATTTATACTTTGGGTTCCTCATA